CAATTCTGTCGATAAGCTGAGGGTACGCCACGACCTTGGCACTATTGCGTCGGTTTTTATCTGGCAGTCTATGAAGGGACAGTCGATTGAGGAAATAGGTTTCGAACTATCTAGTGCAAACGTCTTCTTCTATAGCCTGTACTAGTAGCATCGATTAATAATTATTAGCTTCAAATGTCTTGCGAGGATGGGTTGTTTGATGCCCGTCCTGATGAGTCAGTTAACTTATCACTCAGGTGTTAATCAAATCAGGAGATGAAGAGGTCATCGAATGAACAGGCATATTAGACTTGCCGGCCACGCAGGCCGGTCGAAGGCTGCCTCCGGAAAGTGACTAGAATTTTCACATTGCCTACTAAGAATGACACGAGTTTACGGGGGCTGATTCACCTATGGTTTGACTTTACGTGTGCCTAGGCGTTAAACCACACCCCCGTATGTATCATTTATTATAGGCTGCGCAGTCTCCGGTCAATGACTGGAGATGTGTAGAACCATAAGTTAGTCGCTGAACAGCCCATGCGCATGCCAACACGCCTGGTTCGAGCACAAAAGACCGGATCTTTATTGCATCAAGGGGCAACGCGGAAAGGATGGGAAGCCATTGTAGCCAGCATAGACATAAGCCTCTTGTTTGATAACACAGTAAGTATGATCATCCATAGGAGATATCACTGCGTGTCAAGACTATGGAGCAATTCAGACGCATAAAGAACGCAGCTACTGGTTTTCTGTACAGCACAAACCCCATAGCACAAATAATCCATAGCCTGTGAAAATGTATGGTCAGTAAAACCATCAGAAAATGATAAAACATGTTACTCAAAAATATAAAAATCAACAGTAATGGCCTAACCGAAGTTCGTACTTGCTTGTTTATGAATTTGTTTGGCTTTCTTTTTTATTTCTTTATGTCCCCTTTGGGTCAGAGACAGTCTTGGGGGAGCGCGAACTGATCGCCTTTTGCCTATTCTTTTGCGGTAAGATTTTCCCAAATGAGCTAAGAGTCCATTTCTTGCCTTTGGAAAAAACTGTTTGATGTTGGAGCGAGATAACATAAGGCAAGCGATTTCCAAAGCAAAGACCCGGTTGCAGCCCAGCAGGTGTCCACTTTTCCGTTAGACAGTTCAGATATTGCACCAGATAAATGTCTGATTCGGAGAATAAGTACAAGGATAGGCGACGACCATTCGAAAGAACATTTAGAATCCCCTTTATTTTCTGTAGACAAGAAAACACCTAAGGATTTACACCCAGGGCAGAAAATAAGTAGTAAAGGATAAGCATTTTTTACAGCGGTGCCTTCATAAACGTATGGTTCCATAAAGTAAATACACTGTTTTGCCAATCTCAAGTAATTTCAACAGAAATTTCGGAATGGGTATTCGATTCACTGCAATTTCCAATTTTTTTAATGTAATATTCATTTACATACAGCCTTCCAAGATATTTTATACACATCAGAATATAAGCTTTTGAAAGCACCTTTTTCTAGTCACCTGGAAAAATAACACTTGATAAAAACCTACTGGTTAATCAATAGGCATTTTCCCAGTGATCGTGGATGACCTCATATGTAGAAATATATTTTATAGAAACTCATAAACATATTCCTTCTTATGTTCAGTTGTTAGCAAAGACTGTCTTGATCAAACAATACACTTGATGGAAGCATATCTTTTGGTTTTAAACATGTTATCCAAATGGGCTTCTCGAGACCATGAAATCCCCAGTCGCTCATCTAGACTGCTAATAAAGCGCAGTACATAGTCCACATCCAATGAAAATGCTACGAAACAATACGATGTCTCTTTCACAGCATAGATAGATTATTGAATTTCCGTAGATGGAATGTACACAGAATGTCATTTTGAAAAACTTAATGTAGGTCTAACGACAATTTGGGATCAAATCTGTTCTGGTATGGGAGACGTTTTAAAGACGACGAATACACTTCCTTCGAGGTATCAATTCAAAGACGAATTTAATTTCTACCGATCAAACACAAGAAAGGATATTTTAAAATAGTGGATCATCGGGCGACAAGCAGCCACATCTACGGGCATTTCGGGTAATGAGCGAGTCACTTGCAGACACTTTGTTCCGCTGGACGAGCTTACACTCAGTTAACTAGCTGTAAGAGGTAGTGTGTGACTATAGTTGCAGTTGAGTCTTGCTTCCCAGGACGTGGGTTCTCGGTCGTATGCAGCTACTCAGTGAACTGATGGAGTTTTATTAGCAATTTGTGCACGAAGAGTGTTTCACATGAGAAGCTTACTATCGGAACGTATTAAACGCGTTAACACAGGTTCCACTGTATACGATTTCTATATAAGTTATTCGAATTGATGAGTCCCAAAAGGGAATACCAGATTTTAACATTTCTTAAGTAATCATCCTTTATTGAGTGCTGGTTTTGCATGCCAGCGGCGAGAGAGAGAGAGGCTCTTTCAAAAACCGACATCCTGAAGTAAACGAAATACCTTCGAATTAGGCTGTATGCTAATAAATATAACAACGATAGTTCAGTAATGACTCCGAAACAAAACAACATTTGAGAATTTCGGTTGAAAGCCCAGTCCGAATATTCTGAATATGTTCGCTTTAAGGCACCAGCAATGGCATGGAATGCGCTTCTTTTCAAAAACCGCACTGTCATCGCGGTTGACAAAATATTATTCATAAGCAGCAGTCACAAACAAAACCCCGGTTATCACTTGCATTTACTGAAGAATATCTGATCGTGATCCTAACAAAAAAATTGGCCACACACTTACAGTCACAAAAGCTTGACATCGCAATTTTTAAGCAATGTTTTATCCATTTTTCTTCGCGTCTTGTAGCAACTTATTTGCATGTTTGCCTTGCCCCTTCGAATCATTGCTTAAAACATGGTTAAGTGCAGGTCATTTTGATCATAGCCCGGAACCTATCTCTGTCGACTCATTTGACCGGTTACCTACAGGTAAAATCATCACTTTTGCTTGAAGCAAGCACGAAGGGGTTCACAAGTGCATGAAATCATGTGCAAGGAGACACTTTTGTACCTGGTCCCGTCCGTATTCTGTTCTGGCACTCCCACTCTCAGTAAACGTGGCCAGCTCCGGTTGAGCCAACCACAAGCACCTGTTCCCACCTCCGGCGTTTTTGACACCGTCTTGACAATACGCATAGGGGGCTGAAGGGAAGAGGGAATGTGGTAAATGTAAGGCAAGTCTATTATCACGCTGAACTAAACCACGCACAAGTCAGAGTCTCTGCAGCAACATACCGTGGAGCACGCGGTAGGTAGCACCGAACTCGAGGTCGACCTGTCATGCATAAAACAAGTGCCAGGGGTTCGGTTTATCAATCAAAAACCTTTTTTTTACTGGCGCGTTAATATTCAGGCATACGCGTTGTCGGCCACTTACATTTCTATTGCCTGTTGTATGTATGTTTGCCATATATGTTACGTCTAAAGAAATGGAAAAACCAAACCTGATTTAAACGCTTGAGCCCTTTATTTTTTAGTTTGGGGTGTGTCTGCATAGCCACGATAAATAACCCGGAGGAAACCGTTAAAGTCATCATTTGCATAGAAAGTAATATTTATGGCGAACAGAATCCGCTCTTAAAAAGTCAGCAGTTGGCCCAGATGGGCCTAAATGAGCATTTTCTGAATTATTGGGAGCAGGTGGCTGTTGGCAAACAGCCGGCTCAAGAGGATACACATTTGTCACTGCACACGTGCTCCTGAAACTGATTTTTTATAACAGTTTTAAAATTATAATCAGAATTCCATCGCGACAAGTTCTCAAACTTGGGATAGAATGCTCTTTCAATGACGATTTAAAAAGAAGAATACTAATTACCCCATTTTGCGTCAAAGACCGTTCAGTAAAAGTCCCACCGGTCCGTGTTCCGATACCACTGGGCTACTGTATGTGCGCTTAAATTACCGTATTATGTATTTAGGTCAGACATTTGTACATTTAGGGCAGGAAGTAGTCGGTGTTTTAGGTCTTCATTTTTGATTAAAAGTGAAAGAATTTTCTTACTTTTTTGCCTCTCGCTATAACACTAGAAATAGTGACTGGGCTAACGTAATTCTGTTCGGCTGGTTTTCTTTATCAGTTTATTCTCATCCGATTTCGGTGAGGGGTAAATCCAAATATTCGAACTGGCTATGACTTCATTTTTTCTAGCCCTATCTCTGTAATCTTGGTAATGACTTCAGTCCTAATAAAGCAAGGCAGGTTAGTATTATGATTAATTAGCATTGCCTCTAGAAAACATGGCGCATGAAAAAAAGCTAATTCATTCGTCTGTGGCTTGTAAAAAGGCTACTTTGAAATTCCCAAATCTAAATTGAGTCGTGTATTTTCGAGTACTCCCAGAAATTAGGAACTAAACATCGCCACTCTGTCTAAGATGATATTTGATCAGTCTATTTTAGATCTGTTGCTCTTTTTCTCTGAATATTGGTTGTTGGTCACGTTTATAATTGGTCTTGTAGACCACACTATATTTTCTGTACCCTAAGATAGGAAGACTTGGTGGCATTACGAGACAACAGATCAACTTCAAACACTGGGTTTTCAGCGTTATTAAAGTGCTTCAGACACGCCTTAGACATAAAAAATAAACCCAGTACACTTGAAGCTGTACGTTTCAGCCTCTGAACAGGCTTTTCATACGAACTAAGACAGATGCACATGCGGTTGTTTAAAATTTTCCAGAGCCATATGCAACGACAGTGCGGTCGTTAATTGCGACGAGGCCACCGTGTGCTCTAGAGAATGTTGGGCCATGAACGGTGATCTGCGTATGGATTAGTTTCAAGTGATAATGCAATTGTACTGCATCTATTGCAGTTACTGGTCTAGCACCCGCTCGAGCCCGATGTCCTCTTGTATCAAGAAGACCGGAATCAGGGTTGGGCGTAAGTACCCACGGCTACAGGTGACGCAGTTATGTTAATATGCACTGAGTACCAGCCTTCTTGTGTTCCAGATAGAATGGAAGTGTTTGAGTATATCAGCCTCACCATAGCTGGGCTTATTCTGGTATGTGTGTACAATGGCCAACACATGAATACTATACAAATCGTTGGTTACAGTGTCCAAAATGTAGTGTCTTGAAGTGGTCCCAAAACGTAAATAGTACTGAACCATGTTTTATCCATGTAAAAGACTTGCCACTGTCGCTTAAGGACATATGAGGGAGGCAAATCTACCAGTAAAAATTGCCCTTTCTAAAGGAACGCCTTATCGGCTAATAGAGGAATTTATAGGTACCTGATTCAACGTGAACTTCTTTACGTAAAAACCGAAAAATGCGAGGACAGAAGCTTAACCCTAATAATATTCAACCAATTAGCCGCCGACGGACCAAGAGCACTGCTTGAAAACGCACGAAAAATAGGTTTATATAATGCCCAGGAGGCTGATTCCCCTCGACAGATTAAGTGCTTAGGTACAAGTTATACAACATACATGTCTATTTCAAGAACCGAAAAGGCATCTTATTGAAAAACTACAACAGGACTGGAGAGAGAGCTACCTCGAATCTTCTGTCGTTTATATTTGTTACTTACCCACCTTAACTCGTATGTACTGTTTACTTTATATTTAGATAGAATACTATCCGAACGTGGCTGCAGGCTCTGGAGATATGCCATCATTTAATAAGTACTTTTGGCCCTATCAGGTGCTTAGGCGTTCAAACTGAAGGCTGTGATGAACCGTGGGAATTTACGGCGCACGGGCCTCAACAGCCTTTTGCGATACGGAAACATCCCTGTTCGAAACAGTTTTTTTATGTAGAAGACGGCTTGCACTGTTTTCTTACCTTCAAATCTCCGCAACTGTTTTGAGGGAGTTTTTCAGGCGAATGATCGAAAATAATGTCAGTGCGCTGGTTTACAGATGCGCATAAGCCTCCCGCTCCTTATTTGTATCGAAATAGCTTGGAAATATTTAGCTGGTAGCTGAGGTTAACATCGTTTCACGCTCTGGAATGGCAAGCACTAAAGGTAGCATTTTTTCAGTTTCAAACATAAATATGTATGCCATCTAGATTTATCCATAGAAAACAGTTTTCAAGTGGATATCCTATGCAAAGCGGTCATCTAGAATCCGTCAGAATAACTACTAGGCTCACTTAATTAAAAGGAGGAAGTGGCAGATTTGAATAATTCGAGGCCGAGAATTCTTCACATTTGGGTTAACAGAATGGTCTCAGATAGTATCTGGTTCATCCTATGCAGCTCTAAGCCACGTGAAGAAGTAAGTGCGGTAAATGAAACACAGTACAGCCTTGTACTAGACTAACAAATTCGGGTTTCTAGCAACACTTTTGATATAAGGTTAACAATATAGCAAAGTCGATCGTCTTTTGGGTTCCCTGCTCAATAGACAGTAGTCACGTAACTTTTCCCGAAATTTTCATCGGCATATTTTGTCGTTTACTCTGCCGTGTTCGGAACACCTTTATAATTCGAGTCAGCCTATCTATACGGATTGCTGCTTCCTTCCCTTTGTTTAACTGGCGGATACAGTTCAATAAGCATAGGCCTATTTTTTCGCGCTATCCACCCAGGCCAGAATCATTTAATATAGAAATAAATATTTAAATCGCAGGTATATAACCAGAAAAGTAGTGCTGGTGTTACTGGGCAAAGAAATGTAGGTATTTTATCCTGATTTTTCCTTATGTTACATAAGTTCTCCTTCACAGATGACAGGAACAGCAGAACAGACGATAGTTATAGGATTATCTAGGGGCTCAGTAAGTCTTTGAATATCTTAAGCATTCGAAAAAGCGTTATGTGGGTTACCTAACTTCTCTTCAGAAGCCCAGATCTCAACCAACGTAATGATCTTCCGCTCACATTCTCAGTACTGTGCAGTCACCGGCAGACTAGTGGCGGCGGTCTTTGATTGTTTGTAGGTGCTTCTAACTTTTACTTCTTTTGTTGCTTCTGCCAAATTTGATGATAACATCCCAACACGGTTGAAGCTGAAATGTAGTAACAGTTGACCCCCGTAGCTGATCTGTTCCCTTTTACTTTATCTGAACCATAATGCAGATGGTTAGAGAATCCAAAACACGAACTCCTTAGAAACCAGAAAAAGCTATCAGCTGTCTCCTAAGTCCTTTATCTTCGGACCAGGAAATTTAACTGAGCTCTTATTTTATGCAAGTTACGCCGGTGCGTTTCGGAAATGCAAAATGCACATCCAGTGAAGAAAACTTCACCAGGACTTCCTTTTATGGTTAACCCCATAATTAAGTTTATCATATTCATTTATCTCAAAAAGAACGTTATCTCTAAGAGCTATTTTATAATTGTTATCTTGCAGAGGAATTCTTCACAAATTAAACCAGGCTTGGTTTATTTCGAGTATAATTCGCATCTTCGCGACAGGTTTGTCTGGTTAGAAGGAGTACACCACATACAAACTGAGTAAATAATAAAACGATGGATTTTTTGCATATTCTGCTATCAAATGTCCACAGCGATCCCAAAATCTCATAAAACTGGAGTTCTCAAAGTCGGAATAGAACTTATTGCTCGTAAATAAAAAACCCTTCAAGTCGCATATGGTCAGTTAGTTATCTTTTCCTTTACGAGATATAACGGTAGTGAACGAATTATCAATGGCCATTGGATGGGCCATTCCAAACATGGAGTGACCACAAGGTCCCCTATTTAATCATAAACTGTTTTTATTTTGCAGCGCATTGCCATCAGCGACAAGGCTCTCATCAAGGAGGGTGAACTGAAGTGTGCTTCATTTGACGGGAAAGCTTCCGTTCTATTCAAAAAGCTTGGACGCCGGAAACCAGAGTCACTCTACCTAATCCTCTTTGATGACCTCCTCATGGTGACCAAGCGTAAAAAGTGAGTTATACTCCACCGTTGGGCATGTGGCCCAGACAGCTACTTTAACTTTGATGGAGCAAAAAACACAGTACGTGACAACAGTAATTAGGACTTCGGAAAAAAAGCTAAATAGGCTTGGTTGGAGAGGATGACCCGGAGGAGAGCGTAAAACTGATCAGAATATGAATGTATTCTGATATATTGGCCTTTACTTAAGGGTGTCACTAGTAACTAAGAGCAAAACAGTATTTAAGTGTTGTGCATATGCGTTTTAAACTGCGTTAATAAAATCTATAACGATAAGCAAGAATTCTGCTTCTGTCATCGTCTAATAAATATTTTGTTGGTAGTATGTGTGAATCAATTCTTCTTTTCTTTTCGAAAAAAAATATGTGAAGAGGCTACAGACGCCCAGAAAACTAACAAATACATCAGATTTCCATATCTATTCTTAGAGATATGAGCGTATTCATGCAGCTGTAGGGCCTCCATTAAAAATGCAAACCCCTTAGATAGTTATTTTCGGAGGACTCTTGCGCAGGCGGTTATGGAGATAACTAATCAAATCTACAACGAAATATAGCTTGAATTCGTCATGATTTTCGTCCCTGCTAAGCAGTCTTACAAATTCAATTAACTTGTTTAAGATATAATGAAATACTTGCCTCAGTGGTTGATTACTTTGAATGTATTAGATATATAGAAAGAGATTTAGCGTTAGTTTTCGTGCACTGTAACAACACTGTTAAAGAGTTGTTGCTGATATAAATGTCTGCTAATGCTTATTGACCATACAGGGGGTGAGAATCTCGGTTGCACACTATTGGGCGTTAGGTGTGAGTCACTGATAATGCCTACTATGCCAGAAGTTGTTATTCGAATAAATTCATTCGCTAGCTGAGAACTTTTTCTGATTACTAATTGCCGATAGTCATGTGACAGACCCAGACTACAGGAATTCTGCCATTTTCCTTCGACGCACAGTGCACATGCTGCAGGGTTAAGAATGCTGAGTTCCCATGGCGACTGCACCTTTGACATCTCTATTATATCCCATGTGTGCCTCCTAAACGTGTCGCCTTTCCGATGTACTAAATCAACACGGGGGCCAAATCAGGGCACAGTAGACTTTTTGCGGGTTTCGCTCCCACAACAAATGTCCCACATGCGGGGGCGTGCTGGAATGCGCAGGTGCAGGCTCACCCAACGTGGGTCACCTATGCCTGATCTCTGCTCGATCAGCGCACAACAGGCTATAAAACTGCGTGATTCAACGGCCGACCGCACTTCAGTCCTCTTGATCCTGTCGTGACACCGGGCACGGCGGACTGAGATACGAGAGAGTGTGCTAGATGCAGCGCAAGTCTGCTATCAATAAAAAAAAGTCC